TCACTTTGGGGGGCGGCAGGTAGAATTTCATTGACCTGGAATCGACTAGTAGACTCAAAAATTCCATCACTTGGGAGGGGTTTAGTACGGACTTCTCTAAATTTATTATAAAGCCCAGGCTTCTCAGAAGCTCTAAAACCAGTTGCATGTGTTTGTTCAAGGCTGTTATATTTGAACCTACAATTAGAATATCGTCCAGGTAAATGAGGAGCCGAATACGTACGAAGGAACGTATGACAGGTTTGAGAAGTTTCGTGAATATTCTTGGGGCCGTGCACAACCCGAATGGCAGGGCTTGAAACTGGTATGTTTGGCCCTTCCATATAAACCGAAGGTATTGTTGAGAGTCCTCGTGAATGCCCACTTAACGGTAAGCGTCCTTGAGGTCCAGTTTGACCATAAAGTCGTTTGGATTCAGTAGTTGTTTGAGACACAGAATGTTTTCCATCCGAAAATGTTCGTTTGAGATAAATTGATTTACATTGTTTAAATCTATAACTGGGCGTAAGTCGCCTCCTTTCTTTGGTACAAGGAAAAGGCAGCTGTAAAAGCCCATTTTGGAAAATTTTACTGGAAGAATTGCCCCCTTTGAAAGAAGCTTTGAAATTTCGTTTCCCAATACAGGGATATTTTCGCGCGAGGTTGATGTTGTGGGAATGACCCTTTGCCAAGGTCGAGTGTGAAACTCGATGCGATAACCTCGAATTATATTTAAAATTGTTGAATCTTGAGTTAGGTTTCGCCATTGTTGTAGAAAATGTTTTAGACGAGCGGCTGGTTTTCAGTTTATTATTGGCGGAACCAGGGCCTGTCTGGCTGGTTCCGCCTTGGGCGAAAACTTTGCACTTGGTTGGCTTCCGGCGGGAAGCGTTGTTGATTGTTTGGTGCGGAATTGCGCGAAAAAGGGCCGATTAGATTTGCCCCGAGCTTGTTGTGTATTGTACTTGGTACGAGGAAAATTTTCCGATGTATTAGACTGCATTTTGCTATAACCAGGTTTTTGCAAATTTTTACTAAGGTTCCGAGTAAGCTCGGAATGTTTAGCCGCCAGAGTGGTTAAATCCTCGCCAAAAAGCATTTTTCCCGCCTTTGGGAATTCTTGTTCGGCTAGTTGAACTTTATCTGGATTTATAGCTGCCAAAATTTTCTTACGACGGAGGGTCGTAATGATATGGTTTGCTGAACCCAGCAAGCAGAGCGATTGCTGTAAAGTTGTTCGTAAATCTTCGTTTGAAATATTTTCGTTCGATTCAAGACGATCGTGTAAACAACACAAAGGTGCCGCGGCATTTAAAGTAGCTCGTTGAATGAGAGCTAAATCTTTGTCCCGTTGTTCGATAAATTTCTTTCGGCTAGATGGGATATAGGTTAAAATACTTTTATCTAGCAAGGGAGCTACACAAGCATCCGTTTCTGGGGGAGAATATTCCCCAATAATCTCATTTACTTGCTCTGTATTGAGCCGCCGTCGAAAGTTTTGCTCGAGAAATGTACCAAAGGCAGCTGAGGGAACCCAGCGACGTGCTGTTGTTTGTTCGGGATCGAAAAATCCCGTTGTTGATTTGACACTAGTCGGAGTTTCGCCAGAGTGTCTACGTTCTTTGCATCGACATTATCCAGGAGATTTCCATGAGTACTTTTCGACTGTACGTCGACTACCGGTGACGGCATAAAGTCATCTAATGGTGGCACAAAGCCAGCTAATGAGGTCTCATCAGAACCGTCTGTGTTGCTGCTCAAAATATCGTTCTCTTCTGCATGTGTTGCTGTAATCGACAGGCGATCGTCTTCTTCGACAGTGCTTTCCTCGACAGGATGAGGAACTGCGAGTGGTTGTTGAACGTCTTGAACGCGTTGGGATTCTATTTTCGTTACACGTTCTGACAGAGCTACAAATTGCTCTCGCATGTCTTTTAATTACACCACTAAGTATTTGCGAAAGTGTGTCAGAATCAGAGCTATTTCGCTTTGATTCTTTCTATCGGCTATTAGTAAAACACGGAGCACGGAGCACGGAGCACACGGAGCACGGAGCACACGGAGTACGGAGCACACGGAGCACGGAGCACACGAAGTACGGAGCAGTAGAAAAACGAAAATCCTTTATAATTAAATACACTGTTTACTATTACAAATTTTTGTTATTATTAACAAAGTTTTTTCGCGTATTACACGTTGGGGAAGTAGGGAAATGGGGCTTTTACTGAAAAACACATATGATGCAAAACCAGGCTGCCAAAAGCCATAGTATTTAAAATGGGATTGTGAAACTCGTTATCTTACATCTATCAAGATTATGTAGTTATATTATATTCCGATGGGCAACACATAAAGAAACACTTACTGTAGAGAACAGCCGATATATTTCGTTACCCCTGCCAAAAAATAGCCAAGTATACTCATCTTTCAATGTAGCGGATCGACTGAACATTAAATCTTGTGATCATGAGAAAAGTGAATTTTCGGTTTATCCTTCGGCTCAGTGACCAGTGGCAGTGAGCTGTACGGCCGGCTAAGTTTAAACCGTTATACAGTACATCATTACTGCTTTCATTCTTTCAATCCGTTTTGAATATTCGGAATCATTCACAATATTATAAAACTGTATAAGATAGCTGTAGAACTATAAATGCTGTAGAATGAAATAGATAAAGAAAAGTAAGTTTTCAAATCGCGGTATTTGCCGATAAATCGGTAATCGCTACAGAAAAACAGAACAAATTACAGTATTAAAATCACAACAAACAGCGGAAGTGGGACAATTTTTGTATTTTTACTGTAAGACATGCAGAACATGTACGAAATCCATACAGAAGTGTGTGTGTATTCTATACTTTTGAAACAACTAAATCAGACTTCGGAAAATTTGACCGTATTAAAGCTGCTTTTGGGAATTTAGATTTTAGGACTTCGTTTTACATGTACCCAGACCAGTAAATATTTTTGAGTTTTGAATTTTGTGTATAAATCAACACCAACGCCTCAAAGGCGAAAAGGAGGGCAAGATTGTTAGAATTGCTATTTATATTGTAAACATGAGCAGTTTCGAGCATAAACATGAAATTGAAACGAGTAATTTTTACACATCTGATTGACTAAATTCAGGAAGCCATTTAAGTGTACGCGTATTTGTTACAATTCCGATCAACTCTGCCGTGCAGCACGGCAGAGCCAGAGGCAGAGTAAATTGTAAACAAATTGTAAGCTTGTGAGAATCAAAGTTCAAAACTCAAAAATATTTACTGGGTACATGTAAAACGAAGACCTAAAATCTAAATTCTCAAAAGTAGCTTTAATACTGTCAAATTTTCCGAAGTCTGATTTAGTTGTTTCAAAAGTATAGAATACACACACACTTCTGTATGGATTTCGTACATGTTCTGCATGTCTTACAATAAAAATACAAAAATTGTCCCACTTCCGCAGTTTGTTGTGATTTACTGTAATTTGTTCTGTTTTTCTGTAGCGGTTACCGATTTATCGGCAAATACCGCGATAAAACGTAGTTTTCTTTATTTATTTTATTCTACAGCATTTATAGTTCTACAGCTATCTTATACAGTTTTATAATATAATAGTGAATGATTCCGAATATTCAAAACGGATTGAAAGAATGAAAGCAGTAATTATGTATAACGGTTTAAACGTAGGCCGTACAGCACACTGCCCACTGGTCACTGGGACGAAGGATAAACCGAAAATTCACTTCTCTCCATGACAAGCTTTTATAATGTTCAGTCGACCCGCTACATTGAAAGATGAGTACTTGGCTATTTTTTGGCAGGGGTAACGAAATATCTCGGCTGTTCTCTAAGTGTTTCTTAATGCGTTGGCCATCGGAATATAATATAACTACATAACTCATAAGCTTGATAGATGTAAGATAACGAGTTTCACAGGCACAATCCTATTTTGCATCATATGTGCAGTAAAAGCCCCATTTTTCTACTTCCTCAACGTGTAAAACGCGAAAAAACTTTATTAATAAGAACAAAAATTTGTAATAGTAAACAGTGTATTTTATTATAAAGGATTTTCGTTTTTCTACTGCTCCGTAGTTCGTGTGCTCCGTACTCCGTGTGCTCCGTGCTCCGTGTTTTACTAATAGCCATGACTATCTGATGCTGAGCGAGATGACGACCGATGTCGTTGCCGTGAAGATTTGTGAGACTCAGACATAGCACTGAAAGAGAAAAAACACTGAGAAAAACTACAAAACTTACCTGTGTGAGCGAGCACCTGAGAAAAAAGCCGACGGAGCACACGTGGCCGGCGTATTTATACGTAAGGAGGATCACGTGATCTGGGCTTTTTTCTTCTGTTCACTTCCGTTACTGTACCGGAAGCGTTAAATTGTGAGCTAATGCACAGGAAAGGCAAGCCTTACCATTTATTTTCCCATATATTTCGACCGGAGTTTGCGAAATATAATTTCCCATTAAGCCCCGCGCTCCCATTGTTTTCCCACTGATCTCTATTCCCAACTGAAGCGACGAGGGACGAGGCAGAACTGGAGTCGCTGGAACCCTGGAACGACTAATCACGAATTCTAATGATCATTCTCGTACCCAGAGCCCTTCTTACGCGCGGTGCGACGAGGGGCTCTGGCCAAATCCATATTCCGAACTGGCATCTGATTGGCTAGTTCTAACACCGGATATTGTTTTCTTAAGGCCCATTTACACGATACGATTAGTTGTATACGATTGTCATTCTGACGAATGAAAACGAGTGCTAATGCCACGTTATTGCTCATTCGCTAATGGCGAAATTTGAAATGTGACGTTTGTACGCGTGTTTATTCGATCACATACGCCAGAGTAAGAATCGTATACAACTACACAGCCAGAAATCTCACAGGCCTGTCGCAAGCTGTTGATTTTACCGGCTTGCGGCAAGTTGTCAACAAGTCGCGACAGGTCTGTTGGTTTCGTCAGGCGGTAACAGGCTTGCGGCAAAGATTAAGTATATACTTAATATACTTATATACTTAATCTTTGCTTGCGGTAACAGGTCTGTCGCAAGCTGTTGACAACAGAGCCGTAGCGACTTGTTTAAACAACCCGCTACAAGCCTGTTACTAACAAGAGATAACAGGTCTGATAGAACAACTTGCAGCAAGTCTGTTGAAATCAACAGGTCTGTTCCAACCTGTTCCAACAGACCTGTCACGAGTTGTTTTTGTCAAGTCTGCAGCAAGCTTGTTATCAGACCTGCGACAAACCTGTCCACAACAAACAATTTTTGTCCTGTCACAACAAGTTTCAACATGTTGGGAAACAAACCGAAAGTGTGAGTAAAGAGATATAAAATCGCACGAAATGGACACTTCCGGCCTCACTTTCTCATTTAATCATTGTCATTGGTGGCAATATTAAATCACATAGGAGAGATTATAGTCCATAGTTTCTATTCTCTGATTATTATAAAATGCAAAAGCCGCTGTTTTATTATTTTTTTTTAAAAAGTTCCGATTTCCAAAATCCAAATTCCAATTTGCTGACGTGTGCTATCGCTATATTTCCTTAATCTGATTGGATAAACGCGTGTGCACACGTCATCATTCCTCGTTGCAATTGGGCGAAATATTACAAACATATCAATCACATAATCATGTTTAGTTG